CGTAATTATTAAGAATGCCACTTTCATTCTCAAGGTCTCTGTGATTTCAGTGCCTGAATTCTTCATTCTTATCTGCCTTTTATAAATTCCTGGGACCTTGGACAAATCACTCAGCCTCTCTGAGCCCTGCATTCTCGTTTTATGTAAGAGACTAATACCTACCTCAGGGGTGTTCTCAGAGCTAAAATTAGATATGTAAGTATTGCCACTAACACAGAGCTGACTCATAATAAGGCTCAAAATATGTTCATGACCTTATCCTCCTTCCCTTTGCCAACCAAAACAAAAACAAAACAATCCCATTATCCCTGCCAATTCTTAAAAACATTGTCATCTCTTTCTCCTAACATTTTTGGTCAGATGTCTTCCAAAAGGGCTTGCGTTCCCTAAGTGGGCTTCCCCACCCATTTCACTCCAGAATGCATCACATTTGCCTTCTAACCTCTCTCTTCTATATTTACTCTTGCTGTTACACTTCCAGATGATCAGATTAATATCAACTTTCTGTTGACATTAACACTCCGACTTGACCTCCATGTTGATTTTTATACTGTTAAGTTTCATTCTCTTCCCCGACGTTCTGTGATATCATTCTTTTTTTCTTCTCCAAATTCTCTTCAGTGCCTTCAGTCTCCTGGGCTTCTTTCTCTTCTCCAAATCCCAGCTTTCCTAAGTTTCCATCCTTGCTACTCTTCTTATTCTAAATCCTCATCATGACCTCAACTGTCCCATCACTGATGGCTCCCCAATAGGCAGCTTAAGTGACGCCATGTCCCAAGACCCTGACTACATTGTCTATGCCTCTGCCTATTAAATCTGATCATGGCCCACCCCTATCAATTACTTCTTTCTGCAGTCCCCAAATAAAGTCCCTTCAACAACCCCCACCACCAACAAGGGATGCAAGGGTCTTCTCAGTCTAACCGACCCTCCTCACCACCTCATCTCCTGCCATAGGCCATAGGCCACTTGCCTACTTCCGCCACCCAAATCCCTCCCTGTTCTGAAATATGCTAGGTTCTCACACTCATGACTTCCCTCTGTCTGGAAACAACTTCTTCTGCCACAGAATCTTAAAAGTTACTTTCTTCTGAAAGCTTCATTGGTCATGCCAGCACTTTTGTCTTCTGCTACCGGAATAGTTACACATCTATTTCCTCCACTGACCATGGGATCCTCAGCCACAGAGCCTGCATCTGAGTCATGTTTCTATCCCAAGTTTCTAGAACAGCAGTTGGCACAGCATGGACACACAAGAACATTTGTTGAATGTGTCAACAGACCAATTCATAAAAAGGACAATAGTCTGTCTACAACTAAAAGGTCTTGTTATTTAGCTCATCAAAGTCACACAAGATCCTGGAGAATATTCCATCAGTTCCTTTCTTAAGGTTCAAATACTTGTCTGTTTCAGCCCAGACCCCATGGGGTGTTATTGTCCCTAAGCTTTGTCCTCAGGAACAAGGTCCTTAGGACTACTGGGCTTACCTGTGGCCACTCACATGATCCTCCCAGAGTGCCCCTTTCTTCTTCCTCTTTATTACTTTCACCCCCTTTATATTCAGGGTCCAGGAAAAAGTTGGGGGTAAAAAAATGTTTTTGTAGCTGAATGACAGGTGTTACTGAAGACCATTGCCCAGTAGGTCTACAGTCAATCACCCTTTATTGACACTGGTGTTGTGGTGAGTGCTGTGTCACCTCAGTTTTATATCCCAAGTTAAATTTCAATCATTAAACCTGAGCTGTGTTCCTTCAATAAGTATTAAGATGGTCTCATATTGCCTAAATGCCTCCTTAGCAATCTTGACAGTTTGAGTATTGTAAGAACTTTCCTTTACCTAGTGATTTTCAGGGGGAAGTTGTTGAACCCAAAAACCAAAACCACTAAATATAATGCTCAGGTTTGAGAGAGCTGAAATTTGTCATAGTGAAAGACCTAAATTTAATAATAAATAAGACTATTCGGGCCTCCCCTGGTGGCGCAGCGGTTGAGCTTTGGGCTGCGAAGCTGCCTGCAGCCTCTGCTGCTCCGGTTCAATCCCCGGCCACTGGTGAGGGTCCCACATGGCGCGCAGACCTCTCCTGCCACCCTCTGCTCCCCTCAGCAGTGTATTTCGTCAGTCTGCCTGTTCTGTTCCCTGCTCTGGCTCTGGTGAATTCTCTCACCCTCCCACGCTTCTGACTGTACCCAGCGCTTGTATAAATGAATGAATGAATGAATGAGTGAATGAATGAATAAATCTTTTAAAAAAAATAAGACTATTCATAAGTCCAAAGGAAAGGCAAAGAGCCATCGTCCCAAAGATTCAGCCACCCAGTTTTTTCTTCTTTTTGTTCTGTTTCCTTTCCTTTGTTTCTTCTGTACCTGTGCCCCTTTTCTGTCCCCACCTCCAGCCTGAGGTGCGCTAGCCAGTTCCGGTGCTTGCTCTACTTAGAATCTGTGGTGTGCATGCTGGTCCCTTCCTCACTCACAGGGGCAGGTGGGAGTCAGTGGGGAAATATAAGAACTACTTGGAGCTACTTGGTTTCAAGGGAAAGAACTGCATCAATCTGGAACTCTGATGTTACTAATTTAGGAGCTGCAGAGACAACCCAGAAAAATGAAGAAAAGGGCTTTGTGTTATAGAACATGTGCCTTTAGCTGAGGAGAATGACTATAAAAGTCTCTATGGGGGGGCCTCCCTGATGGTGCCAGGGGTTGAGATGCAGCACTATGAAGCTATCTACAGACATGTGGCATGAGTTCGATCCCTGGCTAGGGAGGTGACCCACATGGCACAACAGACCTCTCCTGTTGCGCCCGCTGCTCCCCTTAGCAGTGTATTTCGGTTGTCTGCCTGTTCTGTTCCCAGCTTTGTCTCTGGTGAATCCTCTCACCCTCCCGCACCTGTGGCCTGTACCCCAGTTCTTATATAAATAAATAAATCTTAAAAAAAAAAAAAAGATTCCTTATATGTATACATAAACACACCTCTTTTTTTTTCCCTCCTGTCAAATGCTAAGACCAATACTTTTAAGCTCTGGTCTTTTTAAGTCCATTCTTTCCTTCCAACAAACACAGACGCTCACAGTGGGGTCATCCATATTCCTGTATCTCTTTCCTTCAAACAGACTGGCCAGTGAACAAATTTCTGAACTATCTCAGCCTTTGTTTTGATAATTCATATAAGTGTTCTTCTACACACACACACCAGTTTCTACAAATGGGACCCAAACTACAGCCTGCTGCCTGCTCTGCCATTCCTGTAGGAGCCGCTGACATGCAAGGAAGATTACTGCCCTGCTCTGCAGTTGTATTTGATTGAGAATATCTTCACCTTCCACTACTGGGTTTAGATTATCTTCCTAGATATTTGTGATTGGCACCTTGGCATTTCATTTCTGACTTTCTGGCTGGTTCTGTTAGTGTCTGAGAAGTAGAAGGTGGCCATAGGACAAAACTAATCCTGACATGCACATCAAAACCAGACCAAAATGATAGTACATCAGCAGAAACCTTCCAAATTGGTTTTGTCTCCCAATTTTGTCAAATACTGTTACACTTCATTCTCCTTCAGTGGCATGAAAGTGGGACCCCAGCCACCTGCATTCTTCATGATGCTGATAGAAACTGTCAGACCAGGATCAATAATGTTGCTGGTCCTCATGCCTTTGTGGTGACTATTTTTGGTCTAAATGATAATGCAAACAGTATCTCATAGATATGCCACAACTTCAACCTTATTTATCATATTTGGCTCAATTCCTGGAACAAGGGGCAGACTCTAACTGGGCAAGCTAATCAACTCACTGCTTAAGGAAGCCCACACTGCCTCTAGAAAGAAGTGCTCCATGCATATGAAAGGTCATTATGTGAATCCAAACAGAATTCATTTGGAGCTCTCGTGACATGTAATAACTTTTTTCTATAACTGGAATGATTCCTTTCCTGGTGTGGGTTTTTATCATTTTCATTAGATTATTTCTTCAGAGCTGAAGTCACAATTTGTGTGTGTGTTAGATCTAAAAGTAAAGCTGTCACTGCTATTAAATTTTTATTGGACCTGCTCAGTCTTTTCCAAATTTCACAACTTGACTGTCACCAGGGATGAAAGATTGTGAGCTCGTTGTTACAGACAGATGTTATAATTAAATATAAGCAACACAGTCATGTCCTCCATCCACAATGCTCTGCCCTGTTATACAGCTAATACATATTAATTTTTATATAATAATTTATAAAATATGTGTATGTGGTTGTTTATGTTCTGTTCATGCTAAGGCATATAATTATAAGGGACTGTTTTTTTAAATGAGGGCAACTGACTTAAAATGGTAAGATCAACTTATACCCAGAACTAATTTTTGTTATAGACAAATGAAAAGCAATTATACATGTGAAGCAGAGAAAGTTACTCAAATAAAAAATATACTAAAACTTGAAAATTTTAAAATCTAGCCTTTAATGATGTATGTGATAATAGCCGAGATGAAGAGCAGAGGCCTTGCCCTGGCTCTGATCTGGTGATAAGTGTCGCCTTAGTTTCTTAACCTCTCTTACCTCTCTTTCCTCATTTGCAGAAATAGGTACATAATAACAGACCTGCTTCATAGGCTTTTCTCCAGGGCAAATGATAAAATGCATAGAAAGTACTCAGTAAATGGAAGCACTTAGTAGATGGTGGTGGCTACCATTGCTATATTATTACTACTGAAGAATTGTTAAAATTCTAGACAAGGAAAGAACTACCATGTAGTTCATCTACCTATTCATTTTCACTCAATTAGAATAACATAATGTCTTCTAAATATAAAAGAGACATGTTTGCCATTTTTAAATATATAGAATTATTTTTAAAACACAAAGGGCAAAATTTTAAATACCTACAAGGCTTTCATTCAGAAATACTGTAAACATTTTAGTATGTCCTACATTTCATTTATAAACCTTTTTATAAAATTTTAATCTTGCCATTTATCCTGTTGGCTTGAATGTTTTTATGTGTTAAATATTCACTTACAACATCATTTTCAGTGGCTTCTAACTCTTCTCCAACCAAATGTGTCTAGAGTGTTGTGCCTCTTCACAGTGCTTTCCCTTGGTGGTGGATTCAGCAGGTCAGCAGACAAATGGGTCTTTCTCTCATGCCAGTGTGTAGCAATCTGAGGACAAGATGTTAGATGGTGAATTAGGGTGGAAATCTTTGAACACCTCTAGCCATATCTGAACTCTGATTGTGTTGAAAGCAACCACAAGAACATAGTGTTAGATTTGCTTCCTGCCAACTCAGCATCACAACACAATGTAAATGGCCACCCTCCTTTGCCTGGCTCGTGTGCATGTGTGCAGGTGGCAGGAAACGTCCAACAGGGAGGCCAGCCCGGGACAGAGGGTACCACCACAGTTACCAAATAGCTTCCCCAAACGTTTTGTTGGGGAGACTGACGAGCCCGTCAGTTATCAGGAGACCCATGGGCACCTTCTTTTTGTATTTAGTGAGTTTTCCTGTGACGGAAGGGTCTGCCTTTGGAAGATTCCTAAAGAGATTAAAACATATCAGAGATGAGCAAAGGTTTGCATTTTAAACCATAGAAATGATGGCTCTTTTGAAGAAAGGCATTCCTTCTGATTTTCTTTATGACTGAATTTGATGCCAATTTAGATTGGCAGCCCCAGCATCTGAATTTCCAATCACCTCCAAAGGAAGGTTCATTCTCAACAAGTCATTGATATGGCTCTGGGGATGACAAGTAAAATTCTGCCATGGAAATTTACTCACCATGCCTTTGCTAATCAGATTCTGGGTAGATATTTAAGTCTATGTAAATAAGTGAAAATGAACTGAAATCATTAGTGATTGATAGACTAAGGTTAGAAGATGTAAAAACACTGAATGCAGGAAATATCACCTTAAAAATATTTTATTTAAAAGTGGTACTAAAGGTCCTCTCTGGTGGCGCAAGGGGTTAAGACACAACCTATGAAGCTGTCCGCAGCTACTGCATCACGAGTTCAATCCCCAGCCAGGGAGATACCCACATGACACAGCAGACCTCTCCTGACTCGCCTGCTGCTCCCCTCAGCAGTGTATTTCAGTCAATCCGCCTGTTCTGTTCCCCACTCTGTCTCTGGTGAATCCTCTCACCACCACCCCCCACACTTTTGGCCTGAACCCTAGTCCTTGTATGCATAAATAAATAAAAATTTAAAAAAAATTTAAAAAGTGGTACTAAAATCTGTTATGTGAACCTGCTGAAGCTGAAAAGAAAAAAGAAAGGTGGAAACTGTTGTGTATACTGGGGTTTTTAATTGTGTTACTATAGTCAGTAAAATGAATGTGCTCCCTGAAGCTAATGAGATTTGTGTTTTATGTTTGTGACCAGCAGAGGTGGCTGACGGTGATGAGAGACTGGACGGCATTTCTCTGCCACCAACAGGTAAAGCAGTTAGTTATTTTTTCATCACCCGCTGGAAAACACAGCACATGAAAATATTTGCATTAAAAATGTTTTTAATATTAGCGATACCATTACCTGATAAAACTGCTTCTGTAACAGGCCCCAATCATAGTAATCAGAGGTTCTCAACGCCCTGTGTTCAGAGATATTTTTCCACATTGAATATGAAAAGCTACACTTTTCTAATATTCTGTTTCACATTCTTAAAAACTTCAGAACAGCAAGTCCTAAGAACTTAGTATCATAACATTTTGCTTCCTGAAACCTCTGGACATAAAAAGATATTTCATGTGAAATGATATTTTTTTAGAACCAGGATCACCAGTTTTGTAATGAAATTCATTTCCATTCTGTCCTCTCTCCATCTCCCCTAAGTAGGTTTTGTGAGGCTGTCAGTCATTGCTCTCTATATAATGTGCAACCAACAAATACTGTTTTAATTGAGTGATTCAATAAACCATTCTATCCAGCATGGGTGGCACAAAATCAACCAAAATACATTTTGTTGAAGTCATTTGCTATAATATTAATTCATAGACACAATTCTGATTTCACATTATTTGTATCCCAAGTAATACATCCGAACCTTGTGTCCTGCCCCAGTGAACTGGTGACAAACAAGTTATACCCTCCCTAAGAGTCCCGGAGCTCTTTTCACTTCCCTCAAAATACCAGAAGATTCTCTTCCCACAAAACCTAGATGCCCCCAAAATCCCTATACATGAAAAAGCTTAATCAATGTTTTCTCCTCTAAATTTGTGGTGGTATGTTTGAAAGTCAGCAAATATTAATGGAGTAGCCAGTCTGCGTAGACACTCCCCTCGGTCACGTGTTCCCTGAGGGCGTTTATCCTGAGATGACAGAGAAAGCAGAGCTCACAGGCCTAGGGTAGGCCTATGTTAGTTCACTTCAAAGCAACAAGAAAACAACCATATATGTGATCCAGGGCTTTTTCTGTCATGGAGTAGCTGCACCACAGAAGGATGGGCAAATAAATAAGTCACATGGTAAAAGAGGGACCTATTTACATCAAGTACCTACCGTATGGAGTCATTATGTAAATGAGGCTTCTCTTTGGCTGTGTTTCCACATTTATGAATTTGGAGAACTGCCATGCATGATCTCTATTGTTCCTTTCCATTCTTTTGTTCTCTGAATCAGGACAACTCACATCAGCCCTGGTCCACTCCCAGCAGATGCATGAAATACTACTACTAATGAGCTTGCACATTTCAGGAGGCCCTTTGGAGGAACACCATGCGGTTCTAGCTGTGTTTTCCAGGGTTCCTCCCTCCATCCCCCAGGGCGTTTGCACTGCCCATCCAGGCTGTCATCTGACACTAGACTTTCAAAAATTATTACTATTTGAAAACCATTCCTCTTTGCATCTTCTTATCTGAAGATGTAAACTGAGAGATGTTTCAAGTAAGAAAATGGAACCGGGGATGGCAGAACAACCTCACAGAACTGAAAAGACTTTCAAGGAGTCTAAGAAGGAACGTTAGAGATCATCTAGTCCCATCCCTTCTTTTTATCCAGTCCTTTTGTTTTACAGGTAAAAAAGCCTGAGGCCCAGAAACACTATATGACTTTCTCAAGGTCTCACAGCTGGTCGGTGGCCTGGCCGGAGCCCAGGCTTCTCAACTCCCAGCTTTTGTACCGCATAGCTTTCTTATGTCTAAGCCAAAGCCAGCTTTTCTGCGCATGTTTTTCTTAAGGATCCTAAGAGATGATGTGTGTACTCATCCCTTTAGGACTGCATTTCACTGTCTCAGTCTTCACACTCAGAATGTCCATCTGCCTGACTGTCAGTGCAGTTTAAACTCATGGCATTCTTTATTAAATCTTGCCCAAGACTGTGAGGTCACAATGAAGACAGTAGCAGAACAATGAAGACTGCAGGCCTTTTTACTAGACTATCAATAAGTAGTTGATACAAATTAATAAGCAGCATGATATCATTTAGAAAAGGGTAAAAGAAATTGCAGGTTGGTGCACAGTTGTGCAGTAATGAAATTAAATAACCTTGATAGACTAGCATATCTCTTGATTGAGTAAAACCCTCAGTCTGGGAGGCATCTCTGAATACAGCACTACTCAGCTAATGAGGGAGACCACCCAGTGAGGACCCCATGAGGCCTGCACATGCGGCTTCTTCCCTGGGTTTGAGACTCGCTGCTGGACCTTCCTTCTCTTGTTCATCTGAGCTGGCAACAGTCCTTTAAAAAAGAGATTTAATGTCTTCATTACCTTCGTAAGCTCCTTTTTCTACTTCCAAATGTGTGTGTGTGTGTGTGTGTTGGGGGACTGGGAGGGCTGGAGGAGGAATGTAAATCCTTCAGTGTTTCTGTGAACCAGAATTGTCCAGGTCAGGGTCAGGCTGTCAGCGACGCTTGTCTCTTTCCATCTAAGCAGCCTTCTATTGGTCTCGTTTTAACATAACTGTATACAGATTTTATAGTGGAAAAACACATTTTCTTCATTTCTTTCCCCTCACCCCTATCAGTAAGCCTTTGTAACAGCTCCCAGGCATCAGTGCTCCTTAGGTCCTGGTGAGCAAAGCCAGCCCTCAGGCAGGGGCGGGCAGAGGCCTGCTCGTGGCTGTTGCTGCTGCTGCTGCTGCTGCTGCCTGCGGGTGTGGCAAGTCCTCGCTCACCAGGAAGGAAGTCACCAGGATTTGGGAGCCTTTGTGTGGGGAAGAATAAAAGCATGTAGAGAAGGCTTCTGAATTTGAAGTACGGTAGCTCAGAGCTCATCAGGACTTCATTTTTTTTCATGAATTGGCATTCTTTTGCAAGCTTTTAAAAATTATAAAGAAAAGTATAAGGAAGAAAATGCAAATGATTTTAATTTTACCACCCAGGACAACCATTATTTGGGGGGTATGTGTGTGTCTTTTCCCTAGACTTTTCTCTATATTGATTTTACTTATTTAAATACAAGAGAGATCAAATACATAAAATTTTGTTTCCTGAGTTTTTTTTTACCCTACCAAGCAGTTTCCATCTTTTTACAAATTTTCACATACATTATTTTAATATCTGCATGATAGTTTGGGTAAATCACTTTTTTACAGGTAAATCACTTTATTGCACAGTGAAAGAAAATGGCTAATATAAAGTGATATTTAGTAGTAAGACACATTCATGGACTTTCCTGTAATAATAATCATTACATACTTCTAATGGCAGAAATGACTCATTTAGGACAACTAACACCTTGTTAAAAATTAGTGATTTAAATATTAAAAAGATACCTCACCAATGATGTTCTTCCTTTATTCAAAATACCACCTTCTCACTGTGTCATAGAAAAGCATACAGTTCCTCCTTGGGGAAGTAGCTCCCCTTCATTTTCTTGTCTCTGTTGTAGGTCACATATTTGACACCAGGAGAGAAAACACGGAAGACACAGAGCCAGATCTCACTGCCTAGTGTTCCATTTAGAAACATCGTTCCTTAGCCCATGTAACTTTTCCGTTTGAATTTCCTCAAAAATCCACTTAGCATTTCAGGTTACTGCAGAGTGGGGATGTTCTGTGAAGTTTACCTGTCATGTTTGAATACTTTTCATATACTTTCTTTGTAAGATGTGATAATCAAGACTCCAGGTTGGTATAATATTTTTTTAATCATTTTTAGAGTGACTTATCACCTAAAAAGTCCAATATATTATTCAGTCATTTCACTGTCCATTAAAAAGACGTGGTTCTTTCGTCCCTTTTTCTTTTTTCATAAACTCAATGTGAATATATGGAGTTTCGAGCATATTTATGTTAATGTAAATTACTTAGATGCAGTATAAAGGAGAATGGCTCTTTCAGGTTCTAAGAGAGCAACTGTGAAGGCCAAAATTAATTAGACCTTCATCAGATTAGAAGTTGAAAAAGCTATTTGAAGAGACGGGGTAGCTCTGATCTACTAGATAAAATCATTTACGATATCATTTCTCCCCAAAACAACCATTTGTAACTGAATAAGTGCAAATGAAATATGAATTCTAAGAAAGAAATCCTTTTCATGTAGGTTATGTCGACACAGTGACAAAATAACTAATTAGAAGGTAAGCAGCTCAAAGTAACCTGTTACCTCTCTGAGATCTAACAGATATTTTAACAGATGGTTTTAAATGTGAGTGGTCCAGTGTTTTGGCATTTATGGCAACTGGCCACAAACATACTGAATTAACATCATATATTTTATTTCACCTCTACTACACTTGCCCTCCAGTTTATATGAAACTAACATAAAAATCTGGATTTATTTTAAAGAGATACCTTGCTATGTGGGCATTTGTTTTGCAGTAATATTTACCTCCAGATTCCTTTCTCTAATAAGATAGTGAATTTAAAACACATTTTACTTAGAGATGTTGCATTTACACCTCATTTAATGTATAAAACTAATTATCTTGAATCTTTGGCAGTTGACCCAAAGACCAAAAATTGTCTTGAAAGAAATCTGGACTGTAGAAACAAACCCTAGGGGAAAATTTGCTGTGCTGACAGTTTCACGCCTATCCCTAGCACTTATGTTACAAGTCATAGTGTTAGAGCCAAAATTGTAGTAGAGTTCCCATAGTCCAGCCTCTCATTTTGCAGGTAAGGCAGCAGAGAAAGGGTGAGGCTCATGTTTGCCCGGGGCCAGGTAACCCATCAGTGGCCCTGCCTAGCCTAGACCCAAATCCCTTACTACCCTGTCCAAGGTACTACTACATCATAGCACACTGTACAGTCAAACCTGGAACCAGGAGGGAGCTCTGGGATGAACAGTATTCCACTGAAGACCAGCTAATCACCGAAGAAGAGACGAGGCATCCCTGTAATGTGACAAAGTGGCTTAGGTGTGGCTTGTGGAATCTAGCTAATAGACATCTAGCTAATACACATCTCATATATGTTTGTCTTTTGTCTCTGTGAAGCTACAAGGAAGAGTCAAAGAAATTACTCCCATCACACCCTGAATGAGCCTTGTACATTTCAGGCCAGTTCATAATCCCTTCCCTGAAACAATCCCTTTGTTCTTCAAGTGGTCTAATGAAGTACTGTGATCCAAGGCTTTTCTTTTTCTGCAACACGTTTTAAAATTTGTCTTCTGCCTCTCGGAAGGTAACATTTCTCAAGGAAATTGAAAAGATTAATGAGTGACCATTCTACTCTATTCAGTAGATGAATATGTTGCTAATAAAGGTAGAAACATTTACAACTGTGGGATCTGTTAAATATATACCATAAGCCTGCAAAAGCACTTCCTTCCAAGACTGGGAAACAGCTTGGATTTTTCAATACTTGAGGAGGGGTGGGATTATTCAACTCACAAATATGTGCAATGGATCCACAAATTGGAAATACATATCATAAAACTGCAACAGTAAAATCATATTTTATAAAATAAAATTGTATGTGTGTTTACTTACTGTGACTACTGTGCAGAATTTATTCAGAAATCCTTTTTATAGGCTTTCTTAGCAAAAAAAATTCCATATCTATGGATAATGTCTGAATCTTCTGTATATATGTTTTATTAATATGTAAATATTTAGATTTTTTAAAATTACTATGTTCTTTAAAAAAAAAAAAATTCAATGCAAGTCCAGTTGTGGAAATGGTGTATAACTGTGTTGTGATATCAATTCCCATGATGCTCTTTATGTCCGTTCTGAAAGAATACAATAAATTACTTTAACTGAGTATACCTGTTTCGTGTCTATGTGCCAATCCTTGCATGTTTGTGAAGAGGAGTCAATATGATTCATTAATTAAAGGGTATTAATTAATAGTCTGGTGATTGTACATAGAAAATTTGGGCTCCTGATGAAGTTAATTTTTTTCAAATAGATAAACCGGCAGGACTGTTGTCAGAAAGTGTCTTCAAAGGTAGAAAGTCGTAGGCTCTGCCTGGCAGTCAGATCAATGGCTGCAAGTCCCACAGTAACACTTGAGCATTAAGTACTGATATTCTTGAAGCCTAATTTTAAATGAATTAGGTAGCTTTATAATCTTCACTTAAAAGGTTAAGCCCTGCTTCTATGGAAACAACACATCAGAAGGACAGATCAATCTTCTCTAATGCAAAGTGGCTGTCAAAACTTAATTGCTTTACTCTCCTCTCTGAACACAGGAGGGCGCTACTCCTCACCAGGTTCCTGCCTCCAACTACTTACAAAGGGTATTCCCAGCCCCCCTGTGGAGGGCCCCCAGAGCTAATCCCAAGATCTCTTTCCTAGGCCTGTTTTGTTGGGCCATGAGCTCTTTGGAAGCTTTGAGCAGTGGCAGGTGTGGGGTGATGGGAA